GGGGGGGGGGGTCGAGGTATGTCATATCACAGGAGCCAAAAGCGCAAAGGTCCTGATCTTTATTTTTGCATGACATGTAAATGCGGACTCTAGATGCTTTTGATTTTGCAGAGGTCTTTGCATAAATCCAACTAGAAGAACTTAGCACGATGCATATTTATATGGATTCCCCTCCAGTATCAAGGAGATCTTTTTTTTAATTTTTTTTAAAATAAAGAGATATTCATTACTTTGTAATAAAATTTAAAATTTTCCGCCGCTGCTTTAGTAATAGTAATTGTCTTGAGTACCTTCAACATGATCAAGAAGGGGAACCTTGGAGCAACAGTAAAGCTGTCTCTGTGTGACCTATAGGTCGGTCACGGGTTCAAGCCACGAAATCAGCCACTAATGCTTGCATTAGTAGGCTGTCTACATCACACTCCTTGGGGTGCGGTCTTCCCCCGACCCTGCGTGAATGTGGGATGCTTTGTGCACCGAGCTGTCCTTTTACCTTCAACATGATCAAATGAAGGTGTTGTAATTTAGAAGTGACAACTGTAACTTTTTCTTTAAGCAACTATATTTTTGATAACAATACAAATTTCTTGAGATATTGAGATTTGTTTTTCTTTGGGTTAACTCAAAAACGTTTTCTACAAACTAAATGTCGTTCCTCAAGATGTGTTTCTTTAAATTGATGTGATATATCAAATTCAGCAAGTTTTTGTTGACCTTGAAGACTAATGCTTAAAATATTCTTCTGCCAACTCTGTCCTATGTGAAAAAGTAATAGCTTCATATGTTATCCCACAATTGCTAGGATAACATTCTGCTCTATGTTTATGTCTTCACAGATGGCATTGACACCACCTCCTATTGGTGAAGGTGCACTTTATGAAATTCATTTCAAGGATTTACGCCCATCCTTAGATTGGTCCCCTAATTTTGGTTGGACTGTTCCTGCATCCCAGGTTCTTCCCTTTACTCTTCTTTTTGCATATGTTGTTGCTTTATTATGTTTCTCTTTTCCTACAAACTAATATAATGTGGTTTACATAATTTTAAATTTTTTTACAAGGGTAAGATTTTCTATTATGGGAACTGCTTACTTCAGTGAAAGGTGCATGATGCTAGTGTATAGCACATCCAAATTTTTTGCTGTGTGTGTTCTGATTTCACCTCCCTCCTCGAGATGGTGAATTATTTCTGCACACTTTTGAATCGCTACACGGCCTCTCACAGTTCTTCCTCATCATCTGTTTCATCCTTCTATCTCCTCTTTCTCCTCNACCCCACCCCCCAACTCAAAAAAAGTATAAAAGAAAAGGAGACAAAAAACACTTCTTTGTATTGCATCTTTTTCTTCAAGGAGTTTTCCTATGAGTAGCGTCAATGCATCTTATCCATCAGTTCTAGTGTTGGAAATAATGCTATTTGACTTGTACTCTGGTGTATGTTTGTGTAATGCTTCTTTCTGCCTAAAATTGTTTCTTGATAATTGCAGGATGGTGATAGTGTCCGTCGATGTGCTCAACTAATTCAACCTGTCAACCAAGGTAACTATAATGTAAAACTAACACCTTCCTTTGGTTGTTGACAAAACTTTGTTTTGTGTCACGGACGTGAAAACAATTTGTTCAATATATCAGGCTTATAGAGTATGTGAGTGAACAGGTTTCCGTTAAGGATGGTAATATGTTTGTCTATGTGGAGAAGCTGTTTGGTTCATAAAACAGTTACGAAATTCGGGATATAACTCCTCTATGCATTATTTGGTTGCTTCAATTGCTGTGGCAGATTTACCCCTGAAGTGTTCGATTTGTCTTACATTTGCCCTCCATTTACCTTTCGGTCCATTGATTTTGTCCCATAATTTGAAGCATGGTCTTGAGCAATTGAATAGGTTTAACCCTGAACAATTAAAAAGGTCCAAATATATCCTATGTGGCATCCACTGTGTAAGCCAAATCAGACCAATTTTTCCACGTTGGACAACGGTCATACAGAGGGGCATATTTGAAACGAGAGATAATGTTGGGGGCTTTTCATGAACCGAAAGGTTAATGGAGTGAAAATCTAAGACAAATCACAACCGTTATGGGTAAAGAAGTGCCTTGTTTTCCGGTAATTCAAGGGAATGAAATGCTAAAGGAACTTTATGAATTTCTTTTAGCCCCCTAGAGGTGTAAACATTTGTGAAGCCATTGTAGAACTTTCTTGATGTCCTCTGTTTACCGTGAAATGATTTTTTTTACAAGGCATTAGTGACCACCCTATTGCACTCTTGTTGTTGTTAAATATAGGACATAACTCAGAAGACTGTGGTTTCGTATGCCGAGGGCATTAATTAAAACTAAAATAAATCCTATATGCAGTACCTATGGCCCTACGTTTGTGGTAAAGATCAGTTTGGGGAATGTCCAATTTGTGCAGCCTTGACTGAAATCTTTTGACTCTATCCAGTTAGTGTATTTTATAAGCATCTGGTAACTCCATTTGCGCTGTGCATTGAATCTTTACAAAAGGTGTGTTGTTTGTCTTTCCTAGGCTTCTCAAGGACGGTGCATCACTAGCTTTCTCTCAACTCAAACAATTACTCATGCCTGGTCAATGTTTATCCGTCACTGCAGCATGTCATTGATTCTTAGCTGATAGCTGTTCCATTTCATTCCTTGTAGGAGTTGCTCTATGATACTACTCCATCCGTCCCATTTTAGGTGATGTTGTTTGTCTAGGCACGTAGTTTAAGAAAGAAAGACTTAAATTTGTGGTTCTAAAAACAAGCCATAGATATTTGTATGGCTATAAATCATCTTATTAAGGGTAAAATAGAAAATTTAAAGCTAAATTGTTTCTAAATATGTATAGGTATCATTCTTTCGGACAACTTAAAAAGGAAAGTGCATCCATGAATTGGAACAAATGGAATATATTTCAAAAAAAATTCAGTCAGACCACAAATATAGCTACTCTTAATGAGGATGAACAAAATGTAGAAATTTCATGGATATTCTATATCATGGTTTACATCTATAGTTTTTGTGCTGAAACATTAACCTTAAAGTCATAGATAAGGAGTGACTCTCAACCTGGATGAAGAAAAGGTTGAAGATCTATTGCAATTTTTTTTTTAAACATGGTTTCCATTTGTCTGTGGCTCTTCCCCGGACCCTGCACATAGCGGGAGCTTAGTGCACCGGCTGCCCTTTTCTTGTGGGACTACACTGGGTATGTTGTTGTTGTTATGGTTTCCATTTGTCATTTTGGGCTGATTACTGTTACTTCTTTTGCTATTAAGTTGTAATGACGCTTAGAATTTTGTTTCAACTAATTCTCACATGTCTCTGTTTTCTTTGTAAAACTAGAATGATTTTGCTATAAAGAAAATCCTGCAGCTTAGTTTTTGAAATGCTCGTCATGATCATTGCAGCCCTTGGTCGCTTTCCAGCTTTGGAAATACATTCCATGAGTGAAGGGAGAAAGGAGAGCCAAGCAACAGCTGGATCTTCATCAAATCTGTCTTCATCTACTAATTTATCTGCAAACTCGCTACCAGGCTCAGACGAAAAGAAGGATTTTAAAACCACAGAGTTAGCAGAACAATCCTCGATCGTTGACCTTCCAAAGGAAGCTGCGAACACATCAACGAATAGACGGTCAGATATTAGTTCTGGTTCTCATTTGGGAGATAAATTGGCAAAGGGAGCCAGTTGGTCAGATAATGGCTCTACTTCCTGTATTGCAATTGATCCAGCAAAAACTGCTGACACAACTGAAAACTTTTACCTTTCCAATTGTCCTTTGAAGAAGTTTAGAACCAGTGATGGCGTTCGGTTACATTCAATGAGTTCTGACTCGACGGAGGCAGCGATTTTGGATTTGGAGGAACTTGCAAACAAAATTAAATGGCTGAAAGGGCTGCTTGAGTTCGGAAAACCCGTGTCTAATGCTAGCAGGCCTTCATGGAAGTTCGTGGAACATCAATAAATGATGGTTTCAGAATATGCAAGTGTCATCCTATGGCTCTCGAGAAGTGAAGTCTTAACACTTCTACGCCTTTGGATCGTCTAGTGCAAGTTTTATGCACCTTCAATAATTCAAAAAGTTGTGCTGACTTGAAATTTGACTCGTCCCATATTAAGGTTTCAAGTCTAGTCAGATCATGCAGACAGACAACGAAGGCAGGATTTGAAGTTTGAGCTCGGAACACTTTTAAGTTACTGGGTTCTAAATTAACAATTTCTACGTATTAAATGAATTTCTTAAGACAAATATTGATTTTGGACCAAAGTGACTAGGTTCGGGCGAAACTGTACCATTAATACTAGCTCCGCCACTGCATGCAGAGATTAGTGCCAAGCCAGTATAGCTCAACTTGATATTTTGGCTTCCTCAGATATGATTTAAAGATGCACCGAAGAGCACTTGGTTATCTGCTTTGTTTGTAGCATTGACGAGTCGATAATATGCACCAGTGAGTAATTTCTGCTGTCTTAATAAGTATACAAGTTCAGTTGGATCACAGGTATTTTGTGGCCAATTGTTTGCTGCTCTGCCTTTGTATCTGCTGTGGCCAGCTGCTTTCTGCAACACTTTGTTAATCAGTGCTTTGTTCCACTGAAGAACAAGCTTGTATAGTTGTATATTAGACTCACTCATTTAAAGGCCTGAGGTCAAAGTTTGTTTTCAAATTTTTACATCTTTTTACACCATATGTAAGACAAATTTGGGTTATTCTACTTCTGTAACTTGATATATTGCACTAAGACTCGGTTCTTTTCAATAAAAGCGTTTTTTCACTCATATTTGCATCTGATTAATACTTGTATTATCTATTGACGAACAAACATATGTTCCAATGTGAGATCTAAACGTATTTCATATATATCATAACACCAGTATGAAGTATGCTAGCTTTATTGCTAGAGAGATCGTTTCTATCTGCTGCATTATTTAAGATTATATATTTTTAATCCTATTTAATTTGTATTCAGACAAATTACACTTGTACGACTTTGCTCCTAGAAACGTGTGATGGAGAAAGTTGGCATATAACATAGAAAACTGGGAACTCAGTTTAATTAAATTTGGAGGTACGTCAACATATCTTTAGTCGAATATGAATATGACTAGTTAATTTAATATCATGGCATAGAAGAGGAATATCATGACCTATGTATTTCACTTGTTGAGTCTTTCTACATTTATGGTGAAATGGTTAAAGCACGTTTCATAGTAGAGGAGTAAAATCGTAGATAGTTTTCCAAGAGATCGTTGTGAGTTTTTTGTCAATTAGGTGGAGAGAGGAAGATTAGAACCAGTGTTTTAAAAGGCGTACGCGTAAGGCGAGACGTTTTACATATGCCTCAGCGAGGCGTAAGCCCCGAGGCACGGGGCGTAAGCCCCATGTGTATTTAATTTTTAATATTATATAAAATAATATAGNCGTAAGCCCCATGGGTATTTAATTTTTAATATTTTATAAAATAATATAATTACAGTAAATATTTATAAACAGATAAAAATTGAAGAAAACTATATATATATATATATATATATAGATGTGCTTCATCCCCACAAAAAACTAGTCAACATAATTTATTAAGTAACTTGAGGCGAAAAAAATAAGTTTTCTACATGGAGGAACAAAAATGATGACTAACCTGCAATTTGAACTTTGAACCTACTGCTATGAAGGAGAATGGAGTTCTCTTTGTATTTGTTAAAAAAATTGAATATTCGTTGTTTTGGGAGATATTAATAGACTAGCGAAAGAGAAAAAGAATTGGGAAAGGCCATAAATTAGGGCTTTAATCAATAAAAAAGGTCTTGATTTTTAAATCTAATACATTTCAGTTCATTTTTAAAACTTTTGAGTAATTACAAACTGACTTTTGAGCATTTGGGTATTATATGAAGGACTTATTTAACAAATTTTATTTTAATTTGTAAAAGTCTCTAGGGCTTACGCCTCACTACAAAAACGCACCTCAAACGATGGGCGTATGCCCCAAACGCCCGGGCATACACCCTGAATTTCTAGGTGTACGACGCTTGAGACTTTCGCCCCACACCATCGCCTCGGGGCATTTTTGGTGCGCCTCGCCCCAGAATTGTTATGTGATAATAATGTAGATAGGACAAAAAGAGAATTAATAGAAGTTAGGGGGTATCTTAGCAATTATCATTAGTTGGTAGTTAGAGGTTGTTAAAATATGCTAGAAGTAGTTACAATAGTTCAATGTTAGAGAGGGATTACAACTATTTAAAGAAGAATACTTCCGATTGTAAAGACATTGAAGAAGAAATAATACTACTCTCTTTCTCTTTCACAATCTAAAGTTCATTCTTTGTAAATTGATCAGGAGCTTTTCTTGCGTTTTGGCTCCTTAGATTTACAGAATTCCTACTCAATCAATTAGGCACATTCCATTTGGTATCAGAGCCTCAGCAAACTTGGCCGGAAAACATGCCGGAAGCGATGAGAAACGGCGAGATGCGTCGAGAAATTGAAGAAATCAGAGAACAAGTTAAGGCGTTGGGGAAAAATATGATGATGTGATTGGGGAAATTAGACAACTAATAGCGGCGATGGCAGCGAGTCACCAAGCTCCGGCACCACCAGTGGCGGTACCTCCAGCTGCAGCTCACGAGAACGATGGGAAGTATCTTGACAGAGGTAACCCTAATTACAAATACTCTTGAGTAGAATTTCCTAAGTTCAATGGGAATGACTTAGATGGGTGGATTTATCGATGTGAACAATTCTTTGAATATGAGGGAACGAGTGATGAGAAGAAGGTTAGAATAGTAGCTATTAACCTAGAAGGTAGGGCATTGCAATGGCATCGAGCAATGATGAAGGGACGAGTGGGAATGGGATTACCCAATTGGAATGACTACCTTAGGGGGTTATACCACAGATTTGGCCATGCCATACATGAGGATCCTATGGCGGAGCTAATTAGCTTGAAACAAACGGGGAATGTGCATGATTTCTTGGATTCTTTTGATGGGCTGTTAAACCAAGTCGAGTTATCTGAGGCATACTCTATCAGTTGTTTTTTAAAGGAGTTAAAACCAGAAATAGAGGTGCAAGTGAGGATGTTATCTCCACGAACTTTAACAAAGGCCTACATCTTAGCCAAGTTAGCTGAACATTCACTGAACTTGCAAAGGAATCAGAGGAATTTTAGACCCTTATTACCAACTCCAACTTCTTCTGGGAATTCAAACCCCAGAGGGAACCTACAGATTCAGGGAGTTGGGAGTAGCAGAAGTGTAGAAGGGAACAAATTCCTTGGTTCAAATGGAAAGTCTGTAGTGAGGGGATCTAAGAAGCTATCCACAACTAAAATGGATGAAAGGAGAGCCCTAGGGTTGTGTTTTTGGTACGATGAGAAGTTTGTTCCTGGTCATAATTGCAGGGGAAAGAAGCAAATGTACCTGCTAGAAATAGGAGAGGAAGAGGAAGACTGGGATATTGCTGAAAATTTTAGTGAGAAGGAGAATAAAGAGGAATCAGCTCTAAGTCCTCAGAGGTCTGTTCATGCACTCGATGGAATAGTGGATTATAGAACAATGAGGGTAAAAGGTGGTGTAAAAGGAAAGATGGTACATGTTTTGATAGACACATGGTCCACCCATAACTTCATGGACCTGGATGTAGCTAAGAGATTGGGGTGCAACCTGGAGACTATTCCTCCATTTTCTGTGGCAGTTGCCAATGGCAGCAAGATTCACAGTAGGTACATGAGCAAGGGAATTACATGGAAGATGCAAGGAGTGAAATTCAGATCTGACATGTTAGTCATGCTTCTAGGAGGGGCATATGTTGTTTTGGGAATACAATGGTTAGTCACTCTAGGGGATATAAAATGGAACTTCATGCAGTTGAAGATGGAGTTCCAGATTGTGGGAAAAAGGTGTCACTCAGAAGTAGCCAGCTAGGTGCTCCTAAGTTGTTAGACAATCACAAGATGCAAAGGTTACTACACAAATCTGGGGAGTTGAGCATGATGATCACAACCTATGTTCAACCAATCAAGGGTGAACTTGCTACTCTGAATTCCCAACAAGTGCAGGGTTCTGATGACGTGCAGAAGTTACTGAGCAAACACACTGGTCTCTTTGAAGCACCTAGAGCTTTACTTCCTCACAGAAGTCATGATCACAGGATTATACTCAAAGAAGGAACCTCATCTATCAATGTCAGACCTTACAGATATGCTGCTAACCAAAAGGATGAGATAAAAAGAATGATCAAAGAGATGCTGGATTCTGGTATTATCAGGCCTAGTGTAAGTCCCTATTCCTCACCTATTGTCATGGTCAAAAATAAAGATGGCACTTGGAGACTTTGTATAGATTATAGGCAATTAAATAACTGCACTGTTAAGGACAAATTTCCAATTCCTGTGATAGAGGAACTGTTAGATGAATTGGGAGGGGCAAAGTTTTTCTCAATACTAGACTTAAGGTCTGGTTATCACCAGATTAGGATGGCTGATCAAGACATTGAAAAGACAGCTTTTAGATCTCATAATGGATACTATGAGTTTGTGGTTATGTCATTTGGCTTAACCAATGTACCCTCCACTTTTCAAATTTTGATGAACCATATATTCCAACCCTTACTCAGAAAGTTCATACTTGTGTTCTTTGATGACATTTTAATATACAGCTCTTCTTGGTCATCACACTTAGTTCACTTAGAACAAGCTTTCAAAATCTTAGAGGATAACAATCTGTTTGTCAAGATTAGCAAGTGTACATTTGGTCAGACATAGGTAGAGTACTTGGGTCATATTATCACTCAACAAGGGGTAGAAGCTGACCCAGGGAAGGTGAAGGTAATGGTGGAATGGCATGTGCCCAAAACTGTGAAGGAACTCAGGGGATTTCTGGGTTTAACAGGGTATATTATAGGAAGTTTGTAAAGGGGTTATGGTGTGATAGCTAGACCACTGACTGATCTCCTAAATAAAGACAAGTTTGAGTGGTCTGAGGCAACAACTAAAGCATTTGAAGCTCTCAAGATGGCTATGAGTACAACACCAGTGTTGGCACTCCCAAATTTTTCCCAGAAATTCATTATTGAAATTGATGCATATGTGCATGGAATAAGGGTTGTATTGATGCAAGGGGATCAACCTCTAGCTTATTTGAGCAAGGCTTTGCATGATAAACACTAGCACCTCTCAGTATATGAAAAGAAGATGATGGCTATTGCGACTGCAGTGGATAAATGGAGACCATACCTCATTGGTAGACACTTTCTTATTAAGACAGACCACTAGAGCCTCAAGTACCTTTTAGAACAGAGAGTATCTACTCCCAGTCAACAGAAATGGGTTGCTAAACTTATGGGGTATGACTACAACATCATGTGCAAGAAAGGAAAGGAGAATGTAGCAGCAGATGCTCTGTCAAGGTTCCCTATGAACAACATTCAACTATTAACTATCTCTACTCTGTCCTCAGACTTCCTTGCAAGAGTGCTATCATCTTACTCAGGAGATCAACATTTACAGCAGCTGGCAACTCAGCTTAGTCAGAATGCATTAGCCAGTCCTATCTATTGGCTAAAAGATGGCATCATATACAGATAAGGCAAAATAGTGGTTGGACCTGACAAGCTCCTCAGAGATGATATTTTGCATTTCTTTCATGATAGTGTTGTCAGAGGTCATTCAGGGATGGTTGTCACCTTGCACAGAGTTAGTCAAGTCTATTACTGGAAGAAGATGAAGGCATGAGTTTATGAACACATCAAGAGCTGTGACACTTGTCAAACATGTAAGGGTGAGAATGTGAAGTCCCTAGGCTTGTTACAACCCCTTCCCATTCCAGAAAACGTATGGCAAGCTTAGACTTTATTGAGGGGCTACCTAAGTCTCATAACAAGTTAGTAGTATTGGTGGTTGTTGATAGACTCAGCAAATATGCTCACTTTATCAGTTTGGCTCATCCTTACACTGCCTCAACAGTTGCCCAGGCTTTCCTAGACAATGTGTATAAGTTACATGGGTTGCCTCAAACCATAGTGAGTGACAGAGACACAATTTTCCTGAGTAAATTCTGGCAGGCTCTCTTTGAGGCTCAAGGGGTTCACTTGCACCACTCTACAGCCTATCATCCCCAATCAGATGGGCAAACAGAGGTGGCTAACAAGTGTTTGGAGAGCTACTTGAGATGCATGTGCAATGATAGACCCAAGGATTGGGTGCACTAACTTCCCTTGGCTGAATGGTGGTACAACACTACCTATCACTATGCTATCAAGATGACTCATTTTGAAGTCTTATATGGCCAAAAACCACCTCTCCACCTGCCCTATATTCCCCATAGTTCAATGGTCGACCAAGTAGAGAGGAGTCTCCAAGCCAGAGAGACTACTATCAGATTACTCAAGCATCACCTCCTGCTGGCTCAATCCCGGATGAAGGCTCAAGCTGACAAACATAGAACTCCTAGGAGCTTCAGTGTAGGTGACACGGTCTTTGTGAAGCTGTAACCATACTGTGAGCACCTAATTTTTGACTATATTTGAATTTTTATCACCTTTTACTATTTAAATATTTTCAGAAGTTAAAAAATATATAAATTTTAGCTTTGTTACACTTATGTATATATATATATATATATATATATATATTTTTTTTTTTTTAAAGGTCAATTATTACTATTAGTATTATTTTTATCTTTATTTTTATCTTTATTTTTAATAAAATGAATTAAAAATCGAAAATAAATAAAACTTAATTATTTTTTTAAAACAAATTTCGGATGTGAATTAAAAAAATAGAAAAAGTAAAAATATAAAATTAAAAAGTAAAAGTAAAAATAGGTGGAAATTGTTTAATAAAAAAGTAAAAGAAAGTGAAAAAATAAAAATAAAAAATGAAGTAAAAGTATAAATAAAAGTAAGGGTAGCTGAAAATGAAAAGTAAAAAAAAGTTTTAATTAAAAAATAAAAGTAAGGGTAGCTTAAATCAATTTTTTAAAAAGTAAAATAAGTGAAAAATAAAAAAAAGAAAAGTAAAATAAGTGGAAAATAAATAAGAAAAGTATAAAAATGGGAATTTAAATATAATAAAAGTAAAAAAAAGAGTAAGAAATTAAAAAATAAAAGTAAAGGAAAGTGGGAAATTATTTTTTAAAAAAATAAGAAAAATGGGAAGTGGAAATTCTTTTTAATTAAAAATAAAAATAAAAATAAAAAATCTGAAATTCCAATTTTTTTTTTATATAAATAGAAGAGAAATGTGAGGAAAAAAAGGGAGAGAGGAAAAAATAGGGAGGAAGGAATTGAGAGAAATTTATTTTCTTCTTCTAGAATAAGGAAATTTCTACTCGTGTCATTCTTTCTTCGTCTTTCTTTCGAAAAAACCAGCAGCTTCACCACCCAAAAATAACATTTAAACCTCCATAGAACAACCCTTTTAATACCATTAACTACCATCCAAACCCATTCGAAACAGTGAGGTTTTTAGTTGAGGTCGTCAGCGAGTTTCGATGCTCTGTTTGAGGTCTTGCGTGCGGTCTGAATGAGTTTAAGATTCAAAGCTGTAAAACCGTAAAGTTTCAGATTCAAATTTTGAGGTCCACTTCTTATCTTGTTTTGATTAATGATATGAGTTGCTTCCTTTTCTTTTGGTGTTCTTTGGTATTCATTTATATCTTGAATGAATGAAATTATTCTCTATTAAACATGCCAATTTTTGAGCTTCCTCTTTGTATATTTATTTTAGTTCATTAGCATGTTATCTTAAAAAAGGGTTCATCCATGAATTATTTAATAAAATTTTCTAATTGATAAGTGAGTTGTGATTGTTCATAAAAAAAAAAATCTTATTGAAATGGAAGCTGAAGCAATGTTATCTCTCTATTTGGTTATTTAGTCCTTCCTGTGTTAATAAATGAGCTTTAGTAGTTCCATCTTTATTTTAAATTAAGCTGTCAATTGTCTAAAGTATAGAGTTAAGTTGTTAAACAAGTTTAACTAGAGTTATGTCACTGATGAAGATCCAATGTTTGGGCCTAGACACATGGGTTGCTGAAGGAAGTGGAGTTGTGAGGTTACTATAAGCTAATGAAGAAGGTTATTTTATTTTTGGGCCAAAACTTGAAATCTGCTAGGCCCATTAATCTCATACAATGATCCCTTTTTGTAGTTCTTGAATAATTAATTTAACCTATTTTCATGCTTTTCTACAATGACATACTCTTATGGCTTTACAAATCTCAAATTAGTTTAAGACAAATAATTCATAAACTTCATAGCTTGCTTTAGGTGCGATTAATAAATTATCGTGGCCATGGGAACGGTTCCCGTGGCATGGTCACGATACGTAAATCCCAATTCGAGTGCGTGTTTCACGCGACTTGACCATAACTTCAAATAATAATAATAAACATGTTGTAAATCGCGCGTATATTTCATGTAGCGCGATTTGCAATGTGTACCAAACGACAAGTATACGACATCGTAACTTGTTTAAGAAATAACTCCACAAATACTAAAAATCGATTTAAATAAATAATTAAAAGCGATCAAAGTTAAAATGCTCAATAGATTTAAAACAGGTAATAAATCAGATAACTAGAAAGTCAAAAAAAATCAGATAATTAGGCCAAGTATTAATTGTTAAGCGACCGTGCTAAAACTACGGAACTCGGGAGTGCCTCACACCTTCTCCCGAGTTAACATAATTCCTTACCCGATAATATGTGTTCGCGGACCATAAATAGAGTCAATTTCCTTAATTTGGGATTTTAAAATAAATCGGTGACTTGGGACACCATAACTTATTCCAAGTGGCGACTCTGAATAAATAAATAATCTCATTTCGAATTATGTCACTTAAATTAGAAAAACTCCCATATCCCCCGGAAAAAAGGAGGTGTGACAGCTCTGGCAACTCTACTGGGACAAGAACTCAGAATCTCTGGTTCAGAGTTCAGAATTCGAGCTTAGAATAGCTGTTATACTTGAATTTTATTTATTATCCGATTTTTACGTGTTTGAGCCTAATGTGCTAATTGCTGCTTTTTACCGCTTTGATATTGCCGTGAGCTGTATATAAAATTGTTACGACACCCTTCTTCTCTATGAGTCTTCTAAATCTTCTAGGAAGCGTGCGCTTCGCGTGGCTTCTTTTTTGTTAGAGTCATACCCTAATTTTAGAACGAGGATAAGACAAGTTGCAAAGCCGGTGAAGCTTCTGTATTCCCGGTACGCTGCCCCCCTCGGCTCGAGTTGTCCGCTAGGGTAAGCCTAGTCTAGAACAATACACCCAAGATTTAAATCTAGAATAACATAGCCTCACGTCAGATCCCTAGTAGGAACGTTTGTTTGCATCACGTGCATTTGACTTTGGGGACTCAACACAAAAGTTGGGTCCGTCTAGGACAGGTGTACCCAATATAAAAGACCATTCTGATGTATTTTTACGTGCTACTTGTGCATATGTTTGTTTCAGCTTGCATGCTGACCGGTTTCTAGAATAGGGAAAGAAAATAAAAATAAAAAATCAAAAAAAAAAAAAGAGTGAAAGGTAGGTATTTGAAAAATTCCGAAACTTTGTCGAAAGTTTGAAAAACAAAGAGAAATAAAATAAGTCAATGTTTTCAAAAGTCATGCTTCTTCCCATGTTCCGTTAAAAACGACCGAACTACGCAGGTCTGATTCTCACCGGATGTGAGATACGTAGGCAAACCTCATCGGATCCGGCCCCAATTTTTAAAAAGCCAAAAAACAATTTCCTTTAATTCATTCTTTAGGAGTCTTTTCTTAGAAAAATCCAAACAAATAAAAAAAAAACTTTAAACCCAAAAATATTTTCTTTGTAGAAGTCTTTCATTTGAAAAAAGAAAACAAATTAAAATTCAAAAAAATATTTTCTACCTTTTTTATTAAGTCTTTCTCCCAAAATTCAAAAATCAAAAATCAAAATCTAAAAAAATATTTTTTTTCTTATTTAGAAGTCTTTCTTTCACCAATTCCCAAAAATAAAAATAAAATTAAAAAAAATTAAAATCGAAAAAAAACAATTGAAAATATTTTCGTTGCTAGGAGATTTTGTCGGATTATTTGTATATGAGTAAAAAAAGAGTTAGTTTATATATTTTATTTTTTTTCTTCTCGAACTACGCGAGATCTGATTCATGCGGCGTCATGATACGTAGGCAATCTCCATCGGACTCGATCATAGTCATAAACAAATTGAGTGAAAAAATAAATCAAAAAACAAATTGAGTGAAAAAGAAAGAAAAGAGTGACAAAAAAAATAACAGAGAAAAAAAAAGAGAAAGAAAAAGAAATCAAGATATGAAAAAAAAAATTAAAAAAAAAAAAGAGTCTCCCGAGATTGAATTAGTTCACCCCTGTTGGTGAATCATTCTAGAGCTTATTCTAAAAACTAGTCAAGCTAGGTCTACTGCAGCCATTAGCCCCGAACAAGCCAAACCCCGAGTCCCCATTGCACCGAGTTGATGCTAGATGTAAATACCACTCCGGAGCAGTGGGACATGATACTGAAGATTGTTGGACTCTCAAAAGAGCAGTGGAAGAAAATGACCCAAATATGATGAACAATCCTCTGCCTAC